CCTTTTTTATTTTTATTTTTATTTTTATGTGGAGTGTGCACACCCGGGTGTTGAATCCGGGTGTGCACCAATCATGGTCCTATTTTAAAACATTTATTGATGATTTGTCTAAGTGCACTTAAGTTCATTTGCTTAGAACTAAGGATGAGGCTCTAGAAAAATTTAAGATTTTAAAGCAAGAAATAGAGAATAAAACAAATAAAAAGATTAAAAGAATTAGATCAGATAGAGGTGATGAATTTAATTCTAATGATTTTATTTCTTTTTGTGAAGAACATGGTATTGTTAGAGAAATTTCCAACCCTAATTCACCTCCACAAAATGGAGTTGGAGAAAGGAAGAATAGAACTTTTGATGGGGATGGTTAGTGCCATGTTAATTCATTCTAATTTGCCATTTAGTTTTTGGGGTGAGGCATTACTTACAACATGTTATATTTCCAATAGAATTTTGCATAAATGTAAGGAGATGACACCATATGAATTATTCAATGGTAGGAAATCAAACATTGATTATTTTAAAGTTTGGGGTTGCATTGCATATGTTTTAGATTCAACCATGAAGTGGCCCAAACTTGGTAGTAAGGCTAAAAAATCAATTTTTATTGGTTATTCCTTGCATAATAAAGCATATAGATTTTTTAATTTGAAGATTAATAGCGCTTTTGAGGTTATTCATGCAATTTATTTTGAGTATTTAACTATTAAAGATGCTAATAGTTTAGAATTAGAAAGGGATTTATCAAATGAATTGGAATTTAATTCTTTTGCACACAATAAGCATGCGGAAGATTTTGGTATGACTATTTTGTCTCATTCTAATTGTTTGAATGGTCAAAAGTTGGATGCTAGTCACATGGATCATAACTTGCGTGAAAGTGCTTCCAACCAAGAAAGTCAAAACAATACTAGTCATGCGGGTCATACGTGAAAGTGTTCCCAATCAAGAAAATGAGAACAAAAGGGAGGAAGAACCAGAATTGAGAAGAAGTGAAAGAAGAAGAATAGAAAAGGATCTTGGTCTTGGTATGTTTACATATTCTTTGGAAGAGGACCCAAGAACTTTTAGTGAAGCCATGGCCTTACTAGATGCTTCTTTATGGGAAAAGCCATGGATGATGAGATAAAGTCTATTCATGATAATTATATATATTTTTTGGTTCATCTTCCTCCTAATACTGAACCTATTGGCTACAAGTGGGTCTTGAGAGAGAAATTAAAAACAGATGGAAGTATTGATAAATATAAAGCAAGACTAGTAGTCAAAGGTTTTAGTAAAAAAGAAGGGTTGGATTATTTTGAGATATTTTCACTAGTGACTAAATTCAGTTCTATTAGAATTATGTTTGCCATTGCATCAATTTACAATCTTGAAGTACATCAAATGGACATGAAGACAACATTTTTGAATGGAGAATTTTTACCAAGGTTACTAGTGATTATAAATTTCTCATTACATGTTATGTTGATGATTTATTAATTTTTGGTTCCAACATGCACTGTATTAATGAGAGTAAGAATTATTTAACCAAGCATTTGACAAAAAGGATTTAGGTCCAGTAGATGTCATTTTAAGAGTTAAAGTTATTAAAAGGGATGGTAAATAGATTTTGACTTAATCACATTATGTTGAGAAATTAAGGACATTTGGTTATTTTGATTGTAAGCTTAGTAAAGCTCCAATTGATCCACATGTTAAATTAATTCCTAATCAAGGTGAACCTATAAATCAAAAGGGGTATGCTAAGATTGTTGGTAGTTTAATGTATGCTATGAATCATACTGGGCTTGATATTGCATGTGCTGTTGGAATTTTGAGTAGATTTACTAGTAATCCTAGTATTGAGCATTGGAATGAGATTAGTAGAGTTATGAGATATTTGAAATTTACTTTGCATTTTGGTTTTGCATTATAATTGCTCTACTTTTGCCTTAGAGTGTTACAGTGATGCTAATTGGCCATCTAATAAGAAAAATTCAAAATCAACAAGTGGATGGTTATTTACCATTGGTGGATCCATTGTTTCTTGGTCCTCTAAAAGACAAAAATGTGTGGCTTTGTCTTCTATGAAATCTGAGTATGTTGCCATGTCATTGGCATCAAAAGAAAGTTTATGGTTAAGGGGATTCTTAAAAGGTGTTCCTTTTGTGGAAATACCAAGAGTACCCATCACATTATTTTGTGATAATCAAGCTATAATTCACAATGCTAAAAATGAGAGGTTATTTAATAATAGCAAACACATTGCTATGAGATACAATTATGTAAAAAGTGTTTTGAAAAAAGGGAGGGTAAAGGTAGGATATCTATCTACTGAACAAATGTTGGCTGACGCCTTAACAAAACCTTTAAATGCAGAAAAGTTAAGTAAAGTTTGGAGAGGTATGGGACTTTTACCGGTAATGGTGGAGTGATCATGTTTGAAACCAACTTCATCATATTGAGGTTGATATGAAGACATGTTTTTAATCAAAAATCAAGTGCAAAAGTTCAATGGCAATTCACTCATGAATTACTTAAGAAATGTAAGCATGAGGTGCTACATTTCTAGTGTATTTTATTCTTTAAGGAATAGTGGGGGTAATGAAATAAATAAATAACTATTCCTTTTAAAGTCCTCTACCTAAACAAGTGCACTATTTATTCACAACAAAGGAGGTTGAACATTAAAGTTCTTAATAGACTCATAACTAACTCTAGTGGAATGGAAGTTGTGAACATTCTTGATGAGTCTATCTATGCAAGTAGGAAGGTTAGAGGCCGCCTTCTATAGATTACACCAGTTAATCTTAAAGTACTTGCTACAATAGGATTAGCACAAGGCCCTTTGCTTTTATAAATGCACTTGCCATGGTTGAACTTTGAGCTCATGTATAATGTAAATATGGTTCCTTAGTGATTCATATTCAATCTAAAGGTTCAAGCCTTGACCACTTTTGGACATGCATTTTACAATACCATTATACTTAATAATATTCTTAGAAAATAAGTGGGGATTGTTACATAGATATATTTAGGTATTTTCTAATAATATATTTCTTATTTACATTATATAATATATTATATATATACACATCACTTTAAGGATGCATGTGGGTACGACTTTAATGCTTGAAACATGGAGCAATGTCAAAACAAGGAAGAAAGAGAAAAAGAAAAAGATAGAAAAGAGTGGTTGAACTTTTGGTAACTGCTTTATCTAAAAATGCAAAGTAGAATTTGAGATGGTAAAAAACTATCTCAAATAGGCAAAAATATTTGAAATATTATCTGATATAAATACAAAATACAAAAGAGTCATAATCCTTTGAAGAGTTGTATCTATTTTAGACTGGTGTAAAAGCCATCCATTGGAACTTGTAAGTAAATAAAAAATATAGCCTCATAAAGAAATTAACTTCTTCTTAGAACTTTGAGTTTTCTTTATCTTTTTCCTTGAATTTTTGCACTTTACTTTTCAAGTTTCAATATACTGGTTAGGTGATTAAAGTCCATTTTAGCGGGTATTGTATCTTAGGGATAACATTTCCTACAAAGAGGTGGAAACTATTATCCTTAAGAAAGGTTCCTAGAGCTGCCTTGCCCACAACAATTGCATCTGCAACTCTGTACATACAACAATTTAAGGATAATAGTCTTTCCATATGGAGTCTAGAATTGTCAAACTACACATTGATGTTGAAAAAATTGAATGCTTCAATGGGCTGAATTACAAGCGGTGAAACTTGAAAATTTATTATCAAATCACCATTTTGAAGGTGGCATGTCTTGCATGATCTATACCCACAAGACTACATTGGCATAGGAAATGGACAATTGATAAAGAAGCAACGCAAGTGGCTTGAAGATGATTATGTTTGCCGTCTAACCATTTTGTAGGCCAAGACAAATGCTTTCTTTAATGCTTTTCACATACACTCCACTGCTCTTGAGTTATGGCATGTGGTAGAACAAAGGTATGTGAATGAGGATGCTAGCAACAAGTCCTTTCTTGTCAACAAATATATTGATTTTAAGATGAGTGATTCCAAGCCTGTCATTAATCAAGTCAATGAATTAAATGATATTGCAACGGAATGTGCTGATGCTAGTGAACCAATTTGTGAGACTTTTCAAGTGTCTACCATAATTGGTAAATTACCACCTTTGTGGAAGAATTATAAAAAATTCCTTAAACACAAGAAAATGTCTTTGAAATTGGTTGAATTGGTGAAGCATATCCAAATTGAATATGAGGCTAGGAAAAGGGATAGTCAAGAAAAGAGTGATAATAATGTGAATGCTTTGGAGGGGCTAGCATCTTTTTTCAAGAAACCCAATCACAAGTGGAAGAAAGGGCAAAAAGGTTCTTCTTCAATGAAAGGCGAAAATGGCAAGAACTTAGCAACTTTCAAAAAGAAGAAAGGACCATGCTTTGTATGTGGAAAATTGGGGCATGTTGTTGTGCAATGCTACCATTGTAAAGGCAATAAAATTTGTGAGACAAATATCATCACAGAGGATGATATGGTGTCTATGTTTACTGAATTACTTGTTATAAACAATGAAGAGGATTGGTGGTTTCATTCAGGAGCAACATGTCATGTGACTCCATTCAAAATTCTTTTAAGACATATGAAGAATGAATGGAGAAAAATCTATCTTCATGGGAAATTCTTCCACATGTGCTGTTGTTGGTAAAGAGACCATGAAACTTTCTTTGGTTTTTGGAAAAGTTGTTACCTTGCAAGATGTGTATCATATTCTAGGTCTTAGGAAAAGTTTAATTTCTGTCAAGAAACTTGATGATCATGGGTTTAAAGTTGTATTTGATTCCCAAAAAGTGATCATATCCAAGAAATGATCCTTTGTTGGGAAAGGCCATGCCAAAGACAATATGCATGCTATTAGTGTAAATAAAGATGCATCTAATTCTACTTATATTGTTAATTCTAGTGATATTAATCATCTTTGGCATTTTAGATTAGACATATCGGTAGTAATGCATTAAAGCGTATGATTTCTCATGAATAAATTCCTAAATCTAGCTCTATTCTTAACATGCAAACATATGAATGTTGCACACAATCTAAGATTACTAAACCATCTTTTAAATTTGTCATTAGAAATACATATTTGTTGGATCTCATTCATACTGATTTATGTGATAATAAGGATAAATTGACTAGAAGTGGTAAACATTATTTTATAACATTTATTGATGATTTTTTTAAGTACACTTATATTTATTTTCTTAGAACTAAGGATGAGGCTTTAGAAAAATTTAAGATTTTTAAGCTAGAAATAGAGGATAAAACAAATACAAAGATTAAAAGAATTAGATCAGATAGAGGTGGTAAATTTAATTTTAATAAGTTTATTTCTTTTTGTGAAGAACATGGTATTGTTAGAGAATTTTTAGCCCCTAATTCACCTCCACAAAATGGAGTTGTAGAAAGGAAGAATAGAACTTTGATGGAAATGATTAGTGCCATGTTAATTCATTCTAATTTGCTATCTAGTTTTTGGGGTGAGGCATTACTTATTGCATGTTATATTTCCAATATAATTTCGCATAAAGGTAAGGATATGACACCGTATAAATTATTAAATGGTAGAAAACTAAACATTGATTATTTTAAAGTTTGGAGTTGCATTGCATATGTTTTAGATTCAACCATGAAGAGGCCTAAACTTGGTAGTAAGGTTATAAAATTAATTTTTATTTGTTATTCCTTGCATAGTAAAGGATATAGGTTTCTTAATTCGAAGACTAATAGTGCTTTTGAGGCTATTCTTGCAATTTATTTTGAGCATTTAACTATTAAAGATGTTGATAGTTTAGAATTAGAAAATGATTTATCAAATAAATTGGAATTTTATTTTTTTGCACACAATAATCATGTGGAAGATTTTGGTATAACTATTTTTTCTTAGTCTAATTGTTTGAATGGTCAAAAGCTAGATGCTAGTCACGTGAATCATAACTTGCGTGAAAGTGCTTCTAACCAAGAAAGTGAAAACTATGCTAGTCACATCAGTCATTTGTGTGAAAGTCTTCCCAATCAAGAAAATGAGAACAAAAGGGAGGAAGAATCGGAATGGAGAAGAAGTAAAAGAAGAAGAATAGAAAGGGATCTTGATCTTGGTATGTTTACATACTTTTTAGAAGAGGAACCAAGAGCTTTTAGTGAAGCCATGGCCTTACCAGATGCTTCTTTATGGAAAAAAGCCATGGATGATGAGATAACATCTATTCATGATAATAATACAAGATTTTGGTTCATCTTCCTCCTAATACTAAACTTATTGGCTGTAAGTGGGTCTTGAGAAAGAAATTAAAAATAGACGGAAGCATTGATAAATATAAATCAAGACTAGTAGCCAAAGGTTTTAGTCAAAAAGAAGGGTTAGATTATTTTGAGACATTTTTAATGGTGACTAGATTTACTTCTATTAGAATTATGTTCACCATTGCATCCATTTACAATCTTGATGTACATCAAATGGATGTGAAGACTGCATTTTTGAATGGAGAACTTGATGAGGAAATCTACATCCATCAAACCAAGGGATACAAAGTACAAGGTGAAGAGGATAAGGTATGTAAACTTAACACATCTCTTTATGGACTTAAACAAGCACCTAGGTAATGGTATAAGAAATTTAAAGAGGAAATTAGGAAATTTGGTTTTAAATGTAGTCAAGTAGAAAGTTGTGTTTTTACCAAGGTTACTAGTGGTTATAAAGTTCTCATTACACTTTATGTTGATGATTTATTAATTTTTGGTTCTAACATGCATTGTATTAATGAGACTAAAAATTATTTAACCCAAGCATTTGACATAAAGGATTTAGATTCAATAGATGTCATTTTAGGAGTTAAAGTTATTAAAAGATATGATACATTTATTTTGACTCAATCACATTATGTTGCGAAATTATTAAGGAAATTTGGTTATTTTGATTGTAAACCTAGTAAAGCTCCAGTTGATCCACATGTTAAATTAATTCCTAATCAAGGTGAACCTATTAATCAAAAGGAGTATGCTAAAATTATTGGTAATTTAATGTATGTCATGAATCATACTAGGCTTGATATTGCATGTGTTGTTGGAATTTGAGTAGATTTACTAGTAATCCTGGTATTGAGCATTGGAATAAAATTAGTAGACTTATGAGATATTTGAAATATACTTTACATTTTGGTTTGCATTATAATTGCTCTACTTTTGCCTTGGAGTGTTACAGTGATGCTAATTGGGCATCTAATAAGAAAAATTCAAAATCAACAAGTGGATGGTTATTTACTTTTGGTGGATTCATTGTTTCTTGGTCCTCTAAAAGACAAAAATGTGTGACTTTGTCTTCTGTGGAATTTGAGTATATTGCCATGTCATTGCATCAAAAGAAATTTTATGGTTAAAGGGATTCCTAAAAGGTATTCCTTTTGTGGAAATACCAAGAGGTCCCATCACATTATTTTGTGCTAATCAAGTTGCAATTCACAATGCTAAAAATGAAAGGTTATCTAATAATAATAGACACATTGCTATGAGATAAAATTATGTAAAAAGTGTTGTGAAAAAAAGGAGAGTAGAGGTAGAATATCTACCTACCGAACAAATGTTGGCTAACCCCTTAACAAAACCTTTAAATGGAGAAAGGTTAAGTAAAGTTTGGAGAGGTATGGGACCTTTACCGGTAATGATGGAGTGATCATGTTTGAAACCAACTTCATCACTTTGATGTTTATATGAAGACATATCTTTAATAAAAAATCAAGTGCACAAAAGTTCAATGACAATTCACTCATGAATTACTCAAGAAATGTAAGTATGAGGTGCTTCATTTCCAGTGTACTTTATTATTTAAGGAATAGTGGGGTTAATGAAATAAATAAATAACTATTCCTTTTAAAGTCCTCTACCTAAACAAGTGCATTGTTTATTCACAATAAAGGAGGTTGAACATTAAAGTTCTTAATAAACTTATTGTAATGCCCCAAAAAAATTTCAAAAGCAAATAAGTGTGAGTTATAGACTAAATCGTGAGAGAATAATATTGTTGGCCTTAAAAATAAAAAATTTTAAAATCAAGGGGTTTAAAAAGAAAACAAATTGGATAAGGCCGACTGACTTTTCTTTCTTTCTTGGTTAAATGCTTAATTTGGTCCCTCAACTTTAAGAAATGAACATTTTTGGTCCCTCAACAAATTTTTGCACTTTTTTTATCCCTCAACTATACGAAATGCACTCCGTTAGTCCTTCTGTTAATTTGAGCCGTTAACCCTGCTTAGGTGGCATTTTTTATATTTTTTTTGATGATGTGGAAAGCAAAACTTAAAAAAGTGATGACATACCATAAAACTTTTGCCATGTCACATGCTACCTGGCAAAAACGCACCAAATCCATCCAATGGGTCCCACATCACCACTAACAATTGCTCCTTTGGCCATCGGTTACTGTTTCTATTCTTTCCGGTGTTTCTTCCATTTTTAAGATTTTTCGATGTTTTTTCCATTTTTAAGATTGAAGTTTGATAGGGTGTTCTTTCCATTTTCAAGATTGAAATTCGACATAACCCAGCTCGATTCATTTCTTTCCATTTTCAAGATTGAAGTTCGACAGAACCCAATCGATTCATTGAACTCAATTGTCCAAAAATCTCTCACAACAACCTGCAATTTGGAAATCTCTTGGCAAACAATCATATAACA